TTGATTTCAATATTATATATACATACATGTTATATATATTGAAAATGTAGAACTGGGTATAATCACACTACAGACTGTTTCATGCTAATGCAATCTTCAGGAGTGAGAGAATACAAGGATTGTGTGAGTATATGAATGCTAAGACAGGTGAAAATGCAAATGTTCATTGAAGTTCAGACAAGCAGTCAATACTAAACAAAAGAACCGAGCTATTGTCTAAATGCATGCACAGCAACAAATACCTACTTAAAAACAATTAACTCATTGTATATATATATATATATATATATTCAATGCCACAATTCGGAGTGAAGGTAAAGGTAAAGGTAGGAGAATAACCCATAACTTGCAGCGTCATTGTGCTGAATTGCGTATGGGCGTGGTCCGTGACTACCTAGCAGCCGTAAAGAGGCGCTTCTTGGTAGATACATGTTCACATCATTCCACAACGACAGGGGCTGAAATGAATCATAACATCGGGGTAACCCCCTACTCTTCCGAAAGATGCAATGTGCTCTTTAAAGTGCACACGAGCCAGCTGTATACACTGGACCTCCATTTTAAGTCCTTATCCGAGAAAACTTGGTTCTACCAACCGAACCATGGGCGAGAAGCGGCTGGAACCAGCGCCGATGTTAAGACTGTATCTAGCGGCGCCCCTGTCTTACCCATACAAAAAAAATCTATAGAATTCTATACAAAAAAAACCTATAGAATGTCTATAGTATATTGTTTAGAAAATCTATAGAAAATTCTATAGAAATAGCTATAGAAGCCTATAGAAATCTATAAAAATTCTACTAAAAAAACTATGAAAATTCTATTAAAACTCTATAGAAAGTCTGTGAAAATTTTATATAAAAAACTTTAAAAAACTATAGAAAATCTATAAACAATTTATAAAAACCTCTTATAAATCTATAAACATTTTAGAGAAAAACCTATGTGTTTTTGGACAATTCAACTGGTCTTCAACTGGCCCCAATTCCAATTGGTTTTCAATGGTCCCAGTCCCAACTGGTTTTTAATTGGTCACGTCCCAGTTCCAACTTGTCTTTCTTGGCATAACTTTCCACGGTCTCAATTCCTTGTAGCAAATTAGAAACAATGGCTTTAATTAACTTTTGTATACACCGAGTTCATATACAAACCATAATTTCTTTAATTAAAAACACCAACAAACATCATACGGTAGGTATATTGCTCCCCTAGGGTCTTATTTACTAGCATACCCCTTCACATATCATACTGCTTATGTCTTACTGTTGAACATCCGCTCGGCCACTCGACTCAGTTGAATAGCTTGGTAGTTAAGATGCTTCCCTTCCAATCCCAGGCTCATGGGTTCAATTCCTATCAATGTTTCCTCACTTCCAAAACAAACTCCATTTCCTAAACCTCATATTGTGATTTAGTTTGTGGTGTGTGTATGTTTGTCTTGTGAAAGGGATTGTCGCCTACAAGCAGGGGTTTAGCCAGAAAAACGAAGTGGGCGTGGCACTGTCACTCAGCTGATGGGCAGGCCACGCCCCTTCCTAAACAAGAAAAAAAGCAAATTATGATCTTTAGAGGTATTTAAAGGTGTTTAAATGTTGGGAATTTGTCTTCAAAGGAATAGTGTTGAATGTCACCAGGATATTTCAGTTATAGACATAGATTGCGCACGGCTGTTACTCGCATAGGCCTAATGTTTCTAGGCTATGCAGATGCATCTTCATCTCTCGCCTAGTGTAATTTCTACTGTAGGTCCTCCGAATCGAGAGATAGGCCTACACCTACTGTATTTTGTTGACTAATAAAATTTAACTTGTGAGGTTAACAACAAATCTTCTTTAAGGAATTTCAGGAATTAATAGACCGAATCGGCCGACTCCAGCTATTACCGGTCACGTGACATATAGTTGGTACTAAATACAAGATTGTAACTCACAGTGCGCTCAGTTTGAACACAGTATATTGGGAGAGTTATGTTTTTTAGACAGCGACTCAAAGTAAAGTAAGGCAGTAGGCCTGTGTTTCTTTAAATAGTGATTTATAATTACTTTGGCAATCTCCGTGCATTTTATTTAGGCTCTGGAATGCTGGTATAGGCTACATATACAATGCATAGGCCTAGGCTGAGTGTTGCCTTGACCAGGGCCCGGACCAGGGAGGGAGTTGAGGGGACGCGACTGGTGGGGGGGGGGGCGAGTAATTTTTTTGGGGTCCCCGCACGCCCCCGTAGTTACGCCACTGGCTATTGACAATCCATGGGGAATGTGTTGTGTGCCTAAATAAATAAATAAATAAAGACATACAAAATAAAACGAGATTAGGTTCGGTTAATGCAACCAATAGTCTTTATAGATGCCGGATACGTAATGCCAGAAAATTTATTACTACAGAAATTGGCCTATACATAAAATACAGTTTTTATGATGCAGTAGAACACCTCCTTTGGGACACCCCCATAGGCGTAGATCCCGGGGGGATATATCCCCCCCCAATATTTGACAAGGGGGATGGTCCATTGTATCATCCCCCAATATTTTGACTATGTATGGGATAAAATGGAGTTTTACACACTTCAAAAGACTGTCACAGAAATAATTTGCACTGTCTTATGCGCTTACAAAGATGAAAATTAGCATAATGTATTAATGTTGATAACAAAATTATTTTATCTGGTACCAATCTACGCTCTTCTTTCCTTAGATATTAGATGTGCTTGCAAAGAGAGCCACATTTCCACACTCAAGGGTGTGTACAACATCAGTATGTTATGTCAAGAATGTTTAAGTTTAAACAAGAATGCCAAGAATGTTTAAGTTTATATCGGTTGATGAGGAATTTATTGATTAGGCCTATAATAGCAAATTGCATCAATTTATTTTGCAAAAACAAGAATTCCAGCTGCAGAGAGGGGGCACATCGAAGCGCGCAAAATATTTTTGTGTTTTTAATTCTAATTTCGTCGGAATTGATGAAAACTCCCTAAAATGTGCAATTTATAGAGGAAATTGGCCTACCGTAACAAGAAATGCAAGCAAAGAATTTAAGAATTTTAGGCACTTTCAGAAGATGCATTTGTCAAGTGGTGGGGAAAGACTTTCCAAAGATGGATATTTTTCCTTGTCCCCCGGTGTTTTTAATTCTAATTTCGTTGGAATTGATCCCAACTCCCTAAAATGTGCAATTTTTAGAGGAAATTGACCCATGCTAACAAGAAATGCGCGCGAAGCGCGCGAAATTTGGGGTTTTTTAGGCACTTTCAGGGGATGAAAAGGGCATTTATAAAGGGGTGGGGAAGATTTTTCAAAGATAGATATTTTCCCCTTGTCCCCCAGCGGTTAAGCCATCGGGCAGCATAGATCAAAGGAGTTATGACAGTTTTTTGAAGTGGAGAAGGGTTACAGGGTGTTGTGGGTCTGGTCATTATGATATCTTCCTTTCTTGTCTTTATTTTTCTCTTCTCTTTTCCTTTTTCTTTCCTTTTCTTTTTTCTTCTTTCTCTTTCCCTCCCTCTCCCCTCTTTTTTTTTCTCTTATTACCCAGCCCGGTACGACGGCTTGGTCAGCCCGGTAAAAACCGTCAGGGGAGGGGCAGTTTCCCCCTGTCCCCCCCCCGCGCCTGTTACGACACTGGCTAACACGCCAATCATCCCCCCCCCCAAATAAAAAAAACTTTTCTACGCCACTGGACACCCCTATTTAGGGTACACCCCTATTAAGGGGACACTTTCTGTGAAACAAGAGGCAATATATCTTTTAACACT